TTTAACAATGCATATTTCTTGTATAATGGACATTTAAAAGAGAGTGTTATGAAATAATGAATATCCATATGAATGTTCATATGCTTTTCATATCCCTACTACTCATACTTCTTAATATGATTCAATTCAATATGAGAAACTTATATTGGTAGTTCAAAAATCATAAACATCTAAATCAATTTTAAACAATTAAGTTTTTCATCGAATAGTAAATACATAAGTCTACATTGAATAATTGGTCACTAAACCCAAAGGTTTACTCCAAATAAGATATAGAGTTTACTAGTATAAAAAATATATTTGATTTATTAGGCAATTCTTCTAAAATATTATTTTATTTATAAAAAATTAAAATATAAAAAATAATAGCAAATGGTTGGTGTTATGAGTGTATATGTATAATTAATTTCTATTAAAATCAATAACTCTAATATATATATTACTCATTGTGTCGAGCATGCAATACAAACCAAATTTTTGTTTACAAAAAAATTAAGTTATAAAAAAAAAATTGAAGCTAGTAGAGTGCAGTAAAAAAAACTATAAAATTAATTTTGATTAATTTGATTATATATAAAAAAAGTAAATAAAACACGTTAATTCTATTTTCAAAATTTTATTATATAAAAATTAAGCAAATAAAAAAACTACAAAAAAAACCTTATTCGAAAATCAATTCCTAAGATAAAATAAATTATATTTATTAACAAATAAAATTACATAAAAAAGAATAACAAATTAATTTGATGAGAATTTTTATAAGAAACGACAAATTTAAGAGATTAATTTTAAATAATAAGAGTAATATATATATATATATTCTAAAATCTAAAAAAATCATATATATTTTATAATCATTAGTTTGTGTAAAAAAAAATAAATAAATAACGATTGGTTTTTTTATAATTTTCACACCCAATTCAATGATGATAATAAAAAGCATAAATTGATGAAAAAACTAAAGAAAAAAAAAAGCAAGCCTACGTGCCTACAAAAGCGAGCCCGATGCATTAGGCTAGGGGTGGAAATGACCTAGGAATCAAAATTTAATCTTAAAACTTTAAGGACTAAAATGAAACATGAAGTAAACTTTAATTATAAACGTTCAAAAACATCCGAAAAATCAAAAAAATACCATCCTTATATATAATATGTGAACAAGTGATCCGTGAAGGGATAAAGGGTGAAAAAAATAGAGTAGCAAAATTAATCTATATGGATTCGAATCTAAAAGTTAAATTGTTTTGAAAATCATTATTCAACCACTTTTAATTCTTTTATTGCAAACGTCCTTAACAATCAAAACAGAGACAAAAGAACCATAACACACAAACTTTAAAGGCTGAAAAAAAAAACAAAAAGGATTAATTAATCCTCTTTTGAAGTGGTGGAGTGTTGATCTAAAGAGAGACGGGAAATTTTGTTAGGGGCTAGGAGATTTTTTTATTTTTTATGGCCGACTATCACATAATTTTTATCCTACCTATATAATAATAACATTAATAATATTTCTATCAAACATTTTTTACACTTCAATCAACCAATTATTTCTCTACATTCAAATATTAGCACTTCATTTGTTAACATTTAACCTCTATTTTTTCACATTAGACAAAACACAAAAAATTTTCAACTAGTGGGGATGGGGTCAATTGATTCCATTACCAAAGTAATGGGTCTACCATTAAGCGTCGAGAGTGTTTACAATATAAAGACATGTTCCATCATATACATATAGGTGCTATTTGGTAATCACGAATAGAGTAATGAGAATGAAAATGCAGGAATCGAATAAAAATTAAGGAATTGAAATAGTATTTGTATTTTCATACTATGTTTGGAATACTAATGAGGAATCAAAATACAATTTAATTTTTTTAATATCCGATTTTTTATACAAATAAAAATAATGATTAAAAAATAATTTTATTAAACTATAATGGTTGTAAAAATAATAAAGATGATGATGATGATTGTGGTTATGACGGTGGTGATTCTAGTGGTGGCGGTGGTAGTGGTTGTGATTGCGATGGTGGTGATGATGGTAGTAGTGGTGGCGGTGGTGGTGATGGTAATAGCGGTGGTGGTGGTGGTGGGTGATAGTGGTGGTGGTGGTGATTGTGATGGTTACGACGGTAGTGGTTGTTGTTGTTTTAATGGTGATGGTGGTAAAAGTAGTAATAGATAATAAATAAATAAAACATATTATTATTTTTAAAAAAAATCATTCTCATTTCTTGTTTTTTATTCCCACATCTTATATGGGAATGAAGTTGTGTGTAAATTTTTATTTCATTCTCATTCCCACTTCATTCCTTTTAATCAAATAACTACAATGTGGGAATACAACTTTCGAGCCTCATTCCCATCACTCTATTCTTGATTACCAAATAGCACCATAAAGAAGCATTCGAATAAAATTAAAATTATTACACGTTCTAATTAAAATTATAAAAACTTAAATATTTTAAAACAACATACTCAAACCTCACTATGGAGGGGTAATAAACTAGTCCTAAATATGAATTTAAAATCTATATTAGTAATAATAAAAAAACATATAGATTTAATTTAACAAAATAATATATATTGATTAAAGCATTATTTATAATTGAAAAGGAGTCGATATGAATTCTAAAAAACATAAGTAGAGAATATATATAATTACTAATTTGTATTATAAAAAAAATTCTCTTGAAATTAAAATAGGATTTTGTGTTTAAGAATAATAATTATGAAATTATGTTTTTTTTTAAAAAATATTAATACTAATTTGTATAAACTATATTATCAACTAAAAAGCCTCTCACAAATCTTACATGACAAGATCAAGATCAAGATAAATGCCAATAAGCTCTAGAGAAAAAAAGAAGATAAATTCTAAGAGCAAATAAAAAAACTTAAGATTTAATAAATACTAGAGATATAAAAAAAAACTTAAGATTTAATAGATCCTAGACAAATGTCATCCACGCACTACTAGGGTAAGACTAACAAATATAACTTATGTGTTACAAAAATTCATATCTAATTTATGTGTGATAAAAATTCTAAATATGACTTTAACATCTTGTAAGCATTAAAAAGAGAACATAGATTTAATTCAACATGGATTAAAAATGCTTCTTGTAATTAAAAATGAAAAAAAAATTGAATATGAATTCTCAAACAAAAAATTATACCAAATTAAGTATTAAATAAAATTTATAAGGAACAATAAAAAATATGTATATAGAAAGAAAGAGCTTACTTGTTATTAAAAAAATATGGACAATAAAGTGGGTGTGCACTCGCGCGCGCACACACATACACACACACACACACACACACACACACACACATATAGAGGGACTCTATAGCCCACCGAGTTATTAGACATTAAGAAATTAGCCTTACTAATTAGTAGTTAACGGAGTAGGTGAGAGAGTCATATAACCACGACGAAATGAATTAACCACTATCGTGAAGATGAGAGGCTACTCTGCCTTTCTATTGTGATGAAACTTTGTTATACTCAAATATTAAAAAAAAAAAAAACATTTAAACTTGTGATCTCTTGTAAATACAAAAAACTCACTACCAATAAATTAGACTAAAAGCTTATTTGTAAGTTGTGTTTACATCAAATACTAATTTATCCGGCATTGATATTATCAATTAAAAAAACATGAGAATCAAAATAAATTCTAAAAGCTCCAAAAAGATAATAAGTTTTTTAAGTGTCCAATTATGTCTTGAATTGCAGTCCAATCAAGGATAAATAACACAATTATATATATATATATATATATATATATATATATATAATGACAACTACCAAATTCTTGAAACTGATCCAATCATTAAGGTACATGAAAAGTCACCAATCAGCTAGTATATTTTGGTTTTTCACCTTTCTATTTTCTCTAAGGTAACAATCGTTGGAATAATAAGATTTGGTAATAGATACAAAACGAAAAATTAAAATCCATATAATCAGACTGAAAAAAAGAAAAAAGAAAGAAAGAAAGAAAAAAACTAATGTACTAATAATGTAATTATTCTAATGTTGCTAATATATGATCCGGTTCACATGCGGATCTTCAGTACAACCACCAATGACAAGTTATCTTAGGAAAATGAAAACGACAGCATATAATAAAAATAAAGAGAACTTTATTTAGCTCCTATCAATTTAATCCTCTCTCTCTCTCTCTCTCTCTCTCTTAAATCAATTTTAGTCCAAACGTCATGTACGGTCAATTCTTCTATAAGCTTTTAACAGTTTCCATTCAATCTATCCTTGAATGAAAATGCTTAACGAGCACATGTAAATTGGATGGAATTTTTAAGGATTATTATCAATCAAAGGATGAAATTGGATTATATCAGTTATATTTGTAGCAAAATTGATAACAGCAAACAAAGAGAATGATGAGTTTAGTAGTCCCCACTCCCAGGATAATGAAAAGTTACTTTCTAGAAGAAAAGAAAACCCTTGTAATGAAGTTGATCAAACAACTTGTTAGTGAAGTAGCTTGATTGGGTGTGTGTCTCTTTTCCCCTTCATTCTTACATTATCAGGATTGTTCCTTATATATACACGTCCAATTTGTGGTGTAGTGGAAGAACGCAATAAGCACCAGAACAGAGCCATTCTTAAACAAACAACAAGAATTTTTAACTCTCAGGTATGATCATCACTCTACTGCTTAATCTTACTCAATTTCTTTACATTTTCCATTTCCGACTCTTAGTTCTTAGCTTAAAATTTTCATTTCTACTATAAAGTTTGAGGTAATCAATGTACTGTAAAAATAAGTTATCTGGGCTGTTTCATTTTCTTTGGAATTTAGACTGTGATCAGTTTATGACTGATGTTCTCTTTTCTTTTTCTTTCTTCTGGGTTCTTGAAATAGCGGATTTTTTTTTCTTTTCTCGTAGGTTTTTGTCTCTGCATGCTTGTTTCCATAATTTGTTCTTTTTGGGCATCCAGGCTGCATAAACTTGCTATAGATTTGATGGCTTACGTTCCTCCACACAAGCGATATACAAAGTATGTGGGAAGGTCATCCCCATTTCCAGAGTCACTAGCTCCTCTGTTTAAGAGAAATATGAATTTGAGAGCATCCAATTTTAATAAAGACAGGAGTGGAAAGATTGTTTATGCAGACCACGCCATATCTAAATGGTTTGCTGTTGGTTTGGATGATGATGACCAGTTTCCTCCTTATGTGCATCTCAAGCCGATTTCCTTCGAATTTTTTGAGCGTAAAAATGGAGAAAAGCCTCTAGTCTTGGTAAATAGTCCTGTAACTGAAGGTGGGTGTTCCATCCTTTCTGGAATTTTCATAATTTATGCTTCTATGTATTTATTGTTTCTGTTCTGGAAAGGTGTTTGAGTTAATTTTTTCATTGAACTTTCTATATTGTTAAATTTTACACAATGTAGAGAATAGCGAACCGGAAAGGAATTGGTCCAGAAGTCCATGGGAGATTATAGCGGAAAAAGTAAAGAAAGAACTACTCTCTTCTTTCGAAAATTTGAAGAGTGAAACGGATTGCCAGAGTTTAGAAAAAGTAAAGCCAACATTGGTTGCTCGATTGGGCAAATTTCTTTTTCATGGGTGAGCAATCCAACTTCTCATGTTTGCTATTACTATTTGGTCAATTAGCCTTGCATGACATTGCATGTTAGCTTCCATTTTCCATTTATGACAGAGAAATAGTATGAAAATTCACACTCTGCAACTCTTTCATTCTTTCTTTTCGACACTAAAAAAGGACATGCATATGCATGTGAAGTTGTGAACAACCCATGCTAAGAAAAAAAATTCAATGTAAAGAGTAGCAGCTAAGACCATGCGGGCAGCACCAGTTAAAGGTGCAGCTTTCTTTTCCATTTTTCCATTTGTTTCTTCTTGCAGTTACTTCCTGTTGCATCCCAGCAGGAAGCTTCCTACGAGCTAGGGATAGACTTCTGAAACTCTGAACCATTTTAATCCTTTTGGAGTTCAGTAGGCTTTTTATGTAACAGCTGTAGTTCTCTTTCTTACAGAAATCAGAATGAAGTTGAACTTTTTGACATATTCTATGAACTAAGGGCAGAACATAAGCATATAAGTGTTCCCAATGTAGGGCCTGCCTTGAAAGATTTAATCAGTGTACTTTCGATATGAACTTGGGCCATTTGATTGGGATTACCCATATTCAGTCATGTTATCTACAGGCTTTGTTTCTCAGTCAATATTTTGATTTGGTTTGTTTAGTCACTTTTCTAAAACATTTTTTACTTAATTTTATGCCACAACTTAGTATATTGTATGGCTGGTGTTGTTCAAGTGATTCCTTTAATCCTGGCAACCAAATTCTACTGGTGCTCCTACTAACAGAGATATTGTTGATATCCATATACTAGAGGCCACAACTTCCAATGTTAAATGAAATTTATATTTTTCATCAGTGCATAAGAAACATGTTTTATATCTCAGTTGTACTAGGATAAGTAAGCAAAAATTATTATGTTTTTTTTTTTTTGATACAGGAGCCATTCAATGAGTCTAGAGAGTGTCAACAAAATTCAAGTTGAAGAAGCCATTTTGAGACAACTGAAAAGATCATTTTACACAAATATTCCTTCTTCGTATATGGAAAATATTACAGATGGAGTGGTCCCAGTGATTGGAGTTGATTTTGAAGAGGAGAAAGACATTTACCATGTAAAGGTAATTCTTATGCTGCATGCCTATTCTTTGTACTGTTTTTTTTCCCTCTTATATTTCTGATTCAATCTGTTAGTTACTGACTTTTTTTCCCTCAAGCAGTTGTCTGATAATACACGGCCAGATGCAACTGTTTCATGCAAATGTAGTGTAACGGAAAATAAAAAACTTCTCCTCTACAAGGTAGGTTTTGTTCAAGCAAGGGTCTTGTCCCTCTTATGTTAATTTATCACATTATAAGCCAGATATTGTTCTTGGTAAACTTCCCATTTTCTATGTGATGACATTGTGTAATCTCATGGACACCTGATTTTAACTTATTGATTTAAAGATGGTTTTGCTTGTTTATGGAGTCGCATTAAAATTAAAGTTTTCTTGTAGGTTGAACTAAATCAAGTGCGCCAGATGGTCGTAGACATATCATGCCTTGATAAGAATCTAGACCTGCGGCTAATGCTTTGCACCAAGAGGATCTTAACAACTCTCACTGTAAGTTGTACTGTCACTCACCGACAATGCCATTCTCTATAGGAATTTAGCTACAATCATACCACCTGGGTGTTAGACACTCATTGAAGCATGAAGTGTTTCCTGCCAGGCAAAAACCCAGCACAAAATTCTTATCAAGAAAACTTGAGCAAGCATTGTCCCTTTGCTTTTTACTTATATGGCAATCTTATATGTTGTAGCCAATGCTTTCTTCATATCAAAGAATTTGTGATGATGGAAACTATCACATTTGAATGGAAAAGAGCAAAATATCTCTATCCTAGAACTTTGTTTAACAAAAATACTCCTGGAAGAGAAATTATGTAAAACAAGCATTGAGCAGGCTTGAACTAGTGAGATAGGCTAACAAGCTTAGAACTAAATTGAGAAGGTCAAAACTGTATTCCTAAATCCTAGGTGTTCTCTTTAATGCTGGAAAAAGAAAAGGATTTTTCATAGATGGAATAATGATTCATGTAAATTTTTAAGACATTTTTATATAGAGTCTAGACAACACAAAGCTGCCAATGACTAATTTCTTTCCCGCATGAAAGTTTTAGTTTATCAAGCAGAAGATAATAATGCGAAACTGGTTCTCTAGTAAGCATTTAATATCAGTAATTTTGGTTTCTGATTCCTATGCAATTAATCAATGGTCAGATTGTTTGTATGATAATCATATTAACTGCTTAAAATATCACAGCTAGCAAACTTCTTTGTAATGTACACTTACCCTGTTAGAGTTATATATATATAGTTTACTCCTGAGAGTGGCCTTATGGTGGGATTGATCGCATGAATTATTGCAGGATGATGAGATGAATAGCATCAGAGACCTGATCAATTCTGCAGTTCTAGATTCAGATACAAAGGGTGGATTAAGGTGGTCCCTGGGGAAGGCATCTTCTGGCGGTAGATACAGTGTCGTCGGGGTTTGGCACACAATAACCAAAGCCTACAAAAGTTCATCATTTAGGCTTAAAGTAAGACATGCCGATCGATTTTATTTTAGGAGTGGAAATGGGGAAGCTACAAGAGAGATTTATCTGAAGTTGAGAAGAGTTGTTTCAGAAATACAGGCAAGTTCCTTTGATTGGCTTTGACTTTTCCATATGCTTTTTCATCTTCACACCCCAGCAGCGCCACACAAACCCACCCCCCCCCCCCCCCCCCAACACACACACACACATTCAAAGTTGACAGATCCTTATTTGATCCCAGACCCCAGTAATAAATGGATTTTCATTAGCTGCCCTTTGGGTTGCTGAAATTATAAATTTGAGCTAGTAACTGATATGAATTTGATACCGTTAAAGGAGTTGATAGGTTTAGATGTGCTTTAATAAGTTTCAGGATTCATGCTGTTCCCGTTTAACATTCATATGGGTTTTTTCGTTCTCTACAAGATTTTTCTTGTATTTAAAGTTGCTTTTGTTAATTGTGCAGGACGTAGGAGCTGAAAGTGATTCAATCTCCATTATGCTTGAGGACAGCTTAAAACTGATATGGGACAAGTTCTTATGCTGTGAGCCGTTTTTAACATGAACGTGCCAATTTCTCCCCATTCTCCTCTCTGTTAAATGTAGGCTTGTTTATATCTTTCTTTGCTTTTGCTTTTGGTGTTTAGATGGATTGAGTGTTGTTTATGAGAACGACGTAATTTCTGTGTGATATGAGGGGAGATGCTGGAAAAAGAGGAAGAGATTGTGGAAGAGTAATTTGCTTTAATTTCCTTGATGGCTATATATTATTTCGAACTTTTTTTGTGTCTTGATTATGCTACTCTTTAATTTTCTGGTCAGTATCATACTGCTAAAAGAAGTAGGAAGAAGTTCTGGTTGCACGAGTTGTACATATCCTTAAATGAAGGAAATACTTGCATTTTCTCTTAGCCAGAGGGTTCTATAAGTCAAATTGTTAACAAATACGTCCAACCCTGAGAATTCAAGATAAATAATGCGTTTTTGTGATAGAATTCATCACTTATTTTGGATGCAAAATTTTAAAAATAAATAAACAAAAATGTGGAACTTTTAAATGTGTTTGACGAGGAAAGCTTGGAGATGCTTGCCATTTTGGTCCACGAGGACACCATTGTGGGCCGTCTTCTTATAGTTGTTCTTCTTAATCTTCCTTACCATGAAAGTGGTATTTTCAACAGATATCTTAGATAAAATAGCTTTCTCTTTGGACAACGACGCAATCCATTTTGGAGTCAATTCTGGCCTCTGAGTTCTACTATCTCCACTGTCTAGATCATCAACTTCTTCAACAGCAGCAACAGCTTTTTTGTAAAATCATAAAAAATTTCGGCTTCAAAATCATCCGTTTGTTACTGGAATTTTTCTTCTCTAATTTCCTCCTCGCCTTCGGATTGTTGGCCATATGCCTCATGTACAATCCTTTACCGTAAATGGACCATCTTCTCTAATTTCAGCTTCAAACTCTGCATTTCTTTGCCGTCAATGTACCATCTTCTCAAACTCCATTCATTTGCAGTAAACATACCATCCTCTCAAACTATTCAATCCTTTACCATAAAGGTACCATCTCTCCTCAAGTCTTTTCTGTAAAGGTGCACTCTCACGTAGCAAATCTTCCACAAACATTCAGTTTGGTTATTTTCTTGGAAACACCTTCACAAACCCTTTCAAGAACACGCAAAGAAAACACAATCTGAATTCTGATACTAAGTTGATCCTATATTTGTGAAGATAAATATTCAAGCCACAAATTTCAAACTCTAGAAAGCCAAAGCTATGATCAATAAATAAATAAATCCTTCAACCAGAAATTTATTTGGAAGCTTTAGAAGATTTTGACGAGATTTGAAGCCCTACTACAGCCTTAGCTAAAGGATACAAAAAATACAAAACCTTAAGAAAAGCACAAAGATAACGCCTAGAGATAATTGAGAGAAACTTCTCAAAAAATTTTATTCAATCAATAATAATAAAATTCTATCTTCTTACAAAAGACGTATAAAAAAAGAGGCATTTTATAGCCGAGTAGCATAACCCTAGGGTAATTTGGCAAATCCAAAAAAAAAAAAAGAAGCTAAAATGAATTCCAACAGAAAAATAATTCCAATTCAAAAAACAAATGGACTCCAATTCGAAAAAGGAATTAAGTAATCTTACAAATTTTAATAGGATACCACTAAATTAAACTCCTAACAATAAAAAAACTCAAAAAAAAAAAAATCCTTTGCAAAATAAAACACGTAAATACTAATAATAATGAAAATAATTAAACAAAAGTTTCGGTCCAATTAATTCTGCCCCATGGATTTGACCCAAATTGAATTTGAATATTAACTAAACACTAAAGTGTTGTTTGGTAATTAAGAATAAAGTGTTGAGAATGAAAATGCAGGAATCGGAATGAAAATTAAAAAATTAGAATGACATTTGTATTCTCATACTATGTTTGGAATACTAATGAGGAATCGGAATGCAATTTAAATTTTTTAATATCAGATTTTTTATACAAATAAAAATAATGATTAAAAAAATAATTTTATCGAACTATAATGATTGTAAAAATAATAAAAATAATGATGGTAGTTATGACAGTGATGGTTCTAGTTGTGACGGTAATAGGGATGAGGGTAGTGGTAGTGATAGTAGTGCTTGTGGTGGTGGTGATTGTGGTGATGGTGATGATGGTGGTGATAAAAATAGTTAATATACAATAAATAAATAAAATATATTATTATTTTGAAAAAAATTCATTCTCATTTTTTATTTTTATTCTCACATCTTATGTAGGGATGGAATTGTATGTAAATTTTTATTCCCATTTTCACTTCATTCTTTTTAACCCAAAAACTACAATGTGAGAATAAAACTTTTATTCTCATTCCCATCACTCTATTTCTGATTACCAAACAGCACCTAAAAGAATTGGAGTGTTCACCGTGCACTCTCTCACACATTTGCGCTCTTTACATATACTTATATACGTTGTGTATTTTCATTGTTTGGCCAAAAAAATATTTTGGTCTCTCATTTTTTCACTAACTTTTGATTCAATCTTGACTTCATTTTTGTTACGTTTTGGTCCCTAATAGGGGGACCATGAGGCCCATTTTGGTTAACTCGATCGTCGAAATCATCATCAATTTATTCATCTTGAAGAATATAATTTGTTTGTAGTGGTCATGAAATGATAGAAAAAAAGTAGATAAGTCCAAAATATTTTGATTTTTTTTTAATTTGAATTTGTATGCATTTTTGTGTATTAAAATGGGTTTTTAGGTTCTAAACAATTTTATTGATGTTATTTCTATGATTTTGAGGTGCTTTTTGACAAAAATGGGATTCAAATGGTTCTGGGAGGCCAGAAATTGTTGAAAATTATAGAATAATCGAAAATTAAAAGCAATTTTTTTTTTTCACGGGCCTGGTGCTTTAATCCAGGCATACAAGCTTGCACCTTTTTCTTTTAAAAAAAAAATTAAGAATTTTGAGGTAAAAATTAGGGAATATTGAACATCATTAAATGTGTCTTTAAGCCGCTTGATAAGAATATATATATATCACAGATTATATTACATTTATTATTTAAAATTTATTTTTTAAATTTATTATTTTTTATGAAAATTCTCATCCAATTACTTTTTTTTATAAAATTTTATTTACTCGATAAATATAATTTATTTTTTTTTCATATTTGGATTTTAGAATAAAATTTTAAAACATGATTGTTTTCTTTTTAATAAAAAATAAATTGATATAATATATATTATAAATTTTAAATGATAGTTACATATTTTAATTTAAAAGGTTAAAAATATATTTAGATGATTTATCTCTCGTCTATTAAGTATGGTTATGATGTATTAAAAAATTAGTGAATCATCAATTTTATTAAAATTAACTATATATCTTCAGACATAATAATAACTATTTGTTATGAATATTTCTTTTTAACATTATAGAACTAATTTTTTTGAAATAAAATAATTAAAATAATTTTTAAAGGAACCATCCAATGATTCAAATACATTTTTTTATGTTAATATTATTGATTGTTTTCTAAATAAATATATATAAATAAATCATATATATTTTTTAAAATTATTTTTTTACCAATATTAAATAATAATAAAAATTTTAATTATAAAATTATTTTATTATATCCGACACCTAACGTAACGCGAGCAATTAACTGGTTGGGTATAAAAGAAATGGACCACACTCCCGTCTCATCCCCTACTCCTGAAAAATTAAAAATATATAAAAAATAAAATAAAATTGGGTTGCCCAGTTTCATTCTATGAGGAATAAAGGAGCAGAATCAAAATCTATTTTAATTTATGAAAAAAATAAATCAGACTTGTAGTACTAAAAAACCAAAATATTGGAAACAATAGAAAAAGAGGAGTCTCTCTTCTAGAGTACAAACAGCCTAACCACAAAACCAAGGAAGAAAAGACAGTAGTATTAATGTTTAAGAGCGCAAAACTAACGATTCTCTCACAAAGTTCTTACAGATGAAACCGAATCTTCTAACCGCCGATTCCTTTACTCCACTAACATGGAATTCAATTCCGTTTCCCAGAAATTCAATTCCACACCCCAATCATTTTCTATCCATAACATCTCCATACCCCAACTCCTCTAGACCCTCTCGTTTAATTCCAATTTTCCCTTCTTCAAATCCTACTAAAAAGCAATCCAATTCCAGTAATGAAGAAGTGTCATTGAATTCAAATGTTGAAGTTCTCGGTGAAGACGAATTGGTGAGGAATTTGAATGTCCAAGTTGGGAATCCTATCGTTCCCTCTTATATTCAGTCATGGACTAAGGTTAGTTTGAGTGATCAAGCTTTCTTTCTCCTATCTTTTATAGCTTGCACGGTACTCTGAGTTTTATTAGCTTAATTTGGTATTATTTGTTAGCCCATTTTTCTGAAAAATTAACTTAGTTTTAGTGTTTAGGATGTTTAGTTGCTTATTGGTATTAAATTGTTTTTTCTGCTAGGTATGTTTTTTTTTTTTGTGTTTTGTTGGGATTGGGAGCTTGATGACTATGAATTCTTTGATGGGTCCTTTTTATTTCGTGGTTTGTGTTGGAAAGATTGCTGCTTTTTAGGTGTGCTAATATGGGTCTTGAGTATATTACAGGCTTATAAAGGTGTTGTTAGATTGTTTAGAATTGGGAATTCTATACTGTTTTTACTCCTCCACTGGTATTTCGTTTACAACATGGTATGGTTTTATGTGTCTTCATTGTGAACTGAGAAACCTTGAAGCTGTGACTTGCTCGCATAGGATTACTTGTTTGTATGATCTTGGTGCAAATCAATCTGCTTGTTAGGTGTGTAGATTTTTTTTTTTTCTTTTCAACTTCAATGTTGTGAATTCAGTTGAATCCTCCGGCCAAAATTTGTTATAATTCACTGTACTCATTCCTTTTCTTTTCAGGCCAGATAACAATAAAACAAGACTCTAATTAATAATAATTCTCAGGCCCAATCCATATAAACCGGATACACTTAAGCCCAATCCTTAATTAATCCTTCTCAGATAATTGTAGAGTCCCTCCAATCCTTTCATTCAATTAGGTCTCTTCCAATTCCCAAATCAATTGGGTTTATGTGCCTCTGTCTCTTCCATTCCCCAATTCGATTGGGTTCCTGCTTCTTCCCCATTCCCCTCTATCACCATCCTTGAACGAAAATGCTTAATGAGCACATGTAAATTGGATGGAATTTTTAACGATTTTTTATCAATCAATGGATGAAATTGGATTATATCAGTTATATTTTTTATGTGCCTCTGTCTCTTCCCTTCCCCAATTCGATTGGGTTCCTGCTTCTTCCCCATTTCCCTCTATCACCATCCTTGAACGAAAATGCTTAATGAGCACATGTAAATTGGATGGAATTTTTAACGATTTTTATCAATCAATGGATGAAATTGGATTATATCAGTTATATTTGTAGCAAAATTGATAATATCAAACAAAGAGAATGATGCGTTTAGTAGTCCCCACTGCCCAGGGAATGAAAAGCTACTTTCTAGAAGAAAAGAAAACCCTTGTAATGAAGTTGATCAAACAACTTGTTAGTGAAGTAGCTTTATTGGGTGTGTGTCTCTTTTCCCCTTTATTCTTACATCATCAGGATTCTTCCTTATATATTCATGTCCAATATGTGGTTTAGTGTAAACACGCAATAGCAACAAAACAGAGCCACTCTTAAACAAACAAAAAGAACTTTTAACTCTCAGGTATGTATGATCATCACTCTACTGCTTAATCTTACTCAATTTCTTTACATTTTTCATTTCTGGGTCTTAGTCATTAGCTTAACTTGATCATTGCTACTATAAAGTTTGATGTAATCCATGTACTGTAAAAATAATTTATCTGGGCTGTTTCATTTTCTTTGGAATCTAGACTGTGATCAATTTATGATTGATGCTCTCTTTTCTTTTTCTTTCTTCTGGGTTCTTGAAATAGCAGAATTTCTTTTCTTTTCTCGTAGGTTTTTGTCTCTGCATGCTTGTGTCCATAATTTATTCTTTTTGGGCATCCAGGCTGCTTACACTTGCTATAGATTTGATGGCTTACGTTCCTCCACACAGGCGGTATTCAAAGGATGAGGGAAGGTCATCCCCAAATCCAGAGTCACTAGCTCCTCAGTTTAGGAGAAATATGAAATTGAGAGCATCCAATTTTAATAAAGACAGGAGTGGAAAGATTGTTTATGCAGACCATGCCATATCTAAATGGTTTGCTGTTGGTTTGGATGATAATGACCAGTTTCCTCCTTATGTGCATCTCGAGCCTATTTCCTTTGAAGTTGTTGTGCGTAAAAATGTAGAAAAGCCTCTAGTCTTGGTGAATAGTCCTGTAACTGAAGGTATGTGTTCCATCCTTTCTGGAATTTTCATAATTTATGCTTCTATATATTTGTTGTTTCTGTTCTGGAAAGGAGTTTGAGTTAATGTTTTCATTGAACTTTCTATATTGTTAAATTTTACACAAAGCAGAGAATAGCAAACCGGAAAGGAATTGGCCCAGAAGTCCATGGGAGATTATAGCTGAAAAAGTAAAGAAAGAACTACTCTCTTCTTTCGAAAATTTGAAGAGTGAAACGGATTGCCAGAGTTTAGAAAAAGTAAAGCCAACATTGGTTGCTCGATTGGGCAAATTTCTTTTTCATGGGTGAGCAATCCAACTTCTCATGTTTGCTATTACTATTTGGTCAATTAGCCTTGCATTACATTGCATGTTAGCTTCCATTTTTCCATTTATGATAGAGAAATAGTGTGAAAATTCACACTCTGCAACTCTTTCTTTCTTTTCCACTCTAAAAAAGGACATTCATATGCATGTGAACGACCCATGCTAAGGAAAAAAAAACTTCAATGGAAAGAGTAGCAGCTAAGATCATGCGGGCAGCACCAGTTAAAGGTGCAGCTTTCTTTTCCATTTTTCCATTTGTTTCTTTTTGCAGTTACTTCCTGTTGCATTCCAGCAAGAAGCTTCCTTAGAGCTATGGATAGACTTCTGGAACTCTGAACCATTTTAATCCTTTTGGAGTTCAGTAGGCTTTTTATGTACCAGCTGTAGTTCTCTTTCTTGCATCAATCAGAATGAAGTTAACTTTTTTACACATTCTATGAACTAATGGCAGAACATAAGCATATAAGTGTTCCCCGTGTATGGTCTGCCTTGAAAGGAGTTAATCGGTGTACCTTCCTTATGAACTTGGGCCATTTGATTGGGATTACCCTTATTCAGTCATGTTATCTACTGGCTTTGTATCTCAGTTAATATTTTGATTTGGTTTGTTTAGTCACTTTTCTAAAACATTTTTACTTAATTTTATGCTGCAACATAGTATATTGTATGGCTGGTGTTGTTCAAGTGATTCCTTTAATCCTGGCAACCAAATTCTACTGGTGCTCCTACGAATATAGATATTGTTGATATGCATATACTAGAGGCCACAACGTCCAATGTTAAATGAAATTTATATTTTTCATCATTGCATAAGAAGCATGTTTTCTATCTCAGTTGTACTAGGATAAGTAAGCAAAAATTATTATGTTTTTTTTTTTTTTTGATACAGGAGCCATTCAATGAGTCTAGAAAGTGTCAACAAAATTCAGGTTGAAGAAGCCATTTTGAGACAACTGAAAAGATCATTTTACACAAATATTCCGTCTTCATATATGGAAAATATTACAGATGGAGTGGTCCCAGTGATTGGAGTTGATTTTGAAGAGGAGAAAGACATTTATGATGTTAACGTAATTCTTATGCTGCATATTCTTTGTACCCTTTTTTTTTCCTTGTATTTCTGATTCAATCTGTTAGTTACTGACCTTTTTCCCCCTCACGCAGTTGTCTGATAATACACAGCCAGATGCAACTGTTTCATGCAAATGTAGTGTAACGGAAAATAAGAAACTTCTCCTCTACAAGGCAGGTTTTGTTCAAGCAAGGGTCTTGTCCCTCTTATATTAATTTATCACATTATAAGCTAGATATTGTTCTTGGTAAACTTACCATTTTCTATGTGATGACGTTATGTAATCTCATGGACACCTTCTGATTTTAACTTATTGATTTAAAGATGGTTTTGCTTGTTTATGGAGTCGCATTAAAATTAAAGTTTTCTTGTAGGTTGAACTAAATCAAGTGCGCCAGATGGTCGTAGACATATCATGCCTTGATAAGAATCTAGACCTGAGGCTAATGCTTTGCACCAAGAGGATCTTAACAACTCTCACTGTAAGTTGTACTGTCACTCACCGACAATGCCATTCTCTATAGGAATTTAGCTACAATCATACCACCTGGGTGTTAGACACTCATTGAAGCATGAAGTGTCTCCTGCCGGGCAAAAACTCAGCACAAAATTCATATCAAGAAAACTTGAGCAAGCATTGTCCCTTTGCTTTTTACTTATATGGCAATCTTATATGTTGTAGCCAGTGCTTTCTCCATATCAAAGAATTTGTGATGATGGAAACAATCACATTTGAATGGAAAAGAGCAAAATATCTCTATCCTAGAACTTTGTTTAGCAAAAATACTCCCGGAAGAGAAATTATGTAAAACAAGCATTGAGCAGGCTTGAACTAGCGAGATAGGCTAACAAGCTTAGAACTAAATTGAGAAGGTGAAAACCATATTCCTAAATCCTAGGTGTTCTCTTTCATGCTTGAAAAAGAAAAGGATCTTCATAGATGGAATAATTATTCATGTAAATTTTTAAGACATTTTTATGTAGAGTCTAGACAACACAAAGCTGCTAATGAGTAATTTCTTTCCAGCATGAAAGTTTTAGTTTATCAAGCAGAAGATAATAACAGTTCTCTAGTAAGCATTTAATACAGTATTTTTGGTTTCTGATTCCTATGGAATTAATCAATGGTCAGATTGTTTGTCTGATAATCATATTAAGTGCTTAAAATATCACAGCTCGCAAACTTCTTTGTAAATGTACACTCACCCTATTAGAGTTATATATATATATATATTTACTCCTGAGAGTGACCTTGTGGTGGGATTGATTGCATGAATCATTGCAGGATGACGAGATGAATAGCATCAGAGACCTGATCAATTCTGCAGTTCTAGATTCAGATACAAAGGGTGGATTAAGATGGCCCCTGGGGAAGGCATCTTCTGGCGGTAGATACAGTGTCATTGGGGTTTGGCACACAATAGCCAAAGCCTATCAAAGTTCATCATTTAGGCTTAAAGTAAGACATGCCGATTGATTTGATTTTAGGAGTGGAACTGGAGAATCTACAGGAGAGATTTATCTGAAGTTGAAAAGAATTGTTTCAGAAATACAGGCGAATTCCTTCAATTGGCTTTGACTTTTCCATATGCCTTTTTGTTATGGTCCCGATTTAAGGATCTTGTTAAGAGTCGATTAACGGGGAAATCAATTAGCTTTCCCTTGTTCACGTTTCAATTCTTCCGTGAAGAACTTATTGTGAACAAATAACAATGGATGGCTTGTTTTAGAGACCACCAACTCTCCTAGGTTTTTCTTGACTGAATTATTCGATATCTTTATTCAGAAAGCATCCGCTCTTTATATAGTAAAAGCAGCTGAAAAATAAAGACAAACCCTAATAGGCTATTGCCTAGACAGACTCACACTAACATAGAAAGTCTAAATTAAAATATCACACCAATTAGGACTCTCATATTCTTTTTCTAATATGACTTATTCTTAATAAATAATAAATAAAAGCAATAAATAAATATCCGCAAGATCTTAGTTTTCCTTCTTGTGCTACTACCTTCTTTTATACTGCTGATCCACAACACCTTTTTATCTTGCTCTCCCCACCCCCAACCCCCAATTTGGAATGTTTTCTTTGATTCTCTTAGATAGTCCCATTTCATTTGCTTTTATACTCTTTCGTGGAAAACCAAGTTTAACCTTTTATACTCTTTCGTGAAGCAATAAGCTTGTAAAACCATATGTTCATGGAATCTTCACCTATATGCATTAGTGATATCAAAGTAGAATTATTGACTCTAAAGCTAGACTCCCTTCAAAAATTTCTTGTACAGGGAGCATTCAAAGTTGACAGATCCTCAATTGATCCCAGTAATAATTGGATTTTCATTTAGCTGCCCTTTGGGTTACTGAAATTATAAATTTGAGCTAGTAACTGATATGAATTTGATACCGTTAAAGGAGTTGATAGGTTTAGATGTGCTTTAATAAGTTTCAGGATTCATGCTGTTCCCATTTAACAGTCATATGGGTTTTCTCGTTCTCTACAAGATTTTTCTTGTATTTAAAGTTGCTTTTGTTAATTGTGCAGGAAGTAGGAGCTGAAAGTGATTCAATCTCCATTATGCTTGAGGACAGCTTAAAACTGATATGGGACAAGTTCTTATGCTGTGAACCGTTTTTAACATGAACGTGCCAATTTCTCCCCATTCTCCTCTCTGTTAAATGTAGGCTTGTTTATATCTTTCTTTGCTTTTGCTTTTGGTGTTTAGATGGATTGAGTGTTGTTTATGAGAATGAGGTAATTTCTGTGTGATATGTGGGGGAGATAAAGAGGGAGAGATTGTGGAAGAGTAATTTGCTTTAATTTCCTTAATGGCTATATATTGTTTCGAACTTTTTTTGTCTTGATTATGCTACTCTTTAATTTTCTGGTTCGTATCTTACTGCTAAAAGAAGTAAAGAAGAAGAAGTTCTGGTTGCACGAGTTGTACGTATCCTTTCAAATGAAGGAAATATTTGCATTTCCTCTTAGCTAGAGGGTTCTATAAGTCAAATTGTTATCTAATGCGTCCACCCCTGTGAATTCAAGATAAATAATGCGTTTTTGAAATGGAATTCCTCATTTTTATGCAAAATTTTAAAAATAAATAAACAAAAATGTGGAACTTTTAAATGTGTTTGACGAGGAAAGCTTGGAGGTGCTTGCCATTTTGGCCCACGAAGACACCATTGTTGCCCTTCTTCTTATAGTTGTTCTTCTTAATCTTCCTTAACATGAAAGTGGCATTTTCAAAAGATGTCTTCGAACAAATAGCTATCTCCTCGGACAACAACACAATCCATTTTGGAGTCAATTCTGGCCTCTGAGTTCTACTATCCCCACTGTCTATATCTTCAACTTCTGCAACTTCTTTGTTGAAAATTTTGATACTTGGGCACCATCAAAGTCAACATCATCGACCTCGTAGTAGATTGAAAGTTGGCTCAAATTGACAAGCAAATCGGACTTTTCAGATGCACCAAACTCAAAAGAAATCTTCATCATATTTGGAGGTTGATTCCAATCCACTAAAAAACTAGAATCATATCTTCTTTGCGTTACTGAAAATTTTCTATAATTTTCTCGTCACCCTTGGATTGTTGGCCATATGCCTCTCGTACCATCCTCTCAAACTCTGCATTTCTTTGCCGTAAATGTACCACTCTCTGAAGCTCTTCATTGCCGTAAATTTACTATCCTCAGTATCATCTTCTCAAACTATTCAATCTTTTACCATAAACTTACCATCCTCTCCTCAAGTCTTTTTCGTAAATGCGCATGCTCAAATTGCAAATTTTCCATAGAAATTCGGTTTGGTTGTTTTCGTGGAAACATCTTCACAAATATTGTCAAGAACACGCAAAAAAAAAAAAAAAAAAAAAAAACCACCTAAGTTCTAATACCAAGTTTACACTATATTTATAAAGATAAATATTCAAGCCACAAATTTCAAATCCTAGAAAACCAAAGCTATGACAATAAATCCTTAACCCAAAAATTAGTTAAAAAAAATTATTATTAATAATAATAACTTAGTCTTAGTTGAGTTTGACAAGATTTAGAACATCACTACAAGCTTAACTAAATAGTTTAGCTTTAGATAATTTTAGTAAGATTTGAAACCCACTACACACCCTTAGCTAAAGGACATAGAAAACACCAAGCATTAAGCAAAACTCAAGAATAACGCACGAGATAATTAAGAAAAACTTCTCAAGAATTTTTATTCAATAAATAATAAAAAAAATTCTATCTTCTTACAAAACATGCGTAAAAGAAGGTTTTTTCATAACCAAGTAGCATAACCCCAGGGTGATTCGGCAAATTATAAAAATGGCTAAAATAAATTCCAAATATAAAAGGATTCCAATTCATAAGACCAATGGACTCCAACTCAGAAAATAAATTATATAATCTTACAAATTTTAATAGGGTATTGCTAAACTAAACTTCTAACTATAAAAGAATTCCAAACAAAAAAAGAATCCCAAAAAAAAAAAAAAAAGAATCATTAGCAAAATAAAACACCTACATACTAATAATAATGAAAATAATTAAATAAAATTTTTGGTCCAAATAATTCTACCCTCATGGATTTGACCCAAATTGAACTAAAATATTAACAAAACAACTAAAAGTGGTGTACTGATTACTATTTGGTATTGCTTTTTCTCTCACTCAGTTTACTATGGACCAATACTCAGAGCAATTATTTGTGTGCCTCAACGTCGTTGATGCCTCCTCCTCTTCATTTATGGCCGTCCGATTTCCTTTTTGATTTCATTTTGCAAGTTGGTAATTTATTAGTCGTGTATTTTCATTCCATTTTCATTTTTGTCGCTGTTTGTTTCTGCTCTTTTATTTCTTTTCACTTGCTTTACAATTTGTTTAATTATTGGTCATGCATTTTGTGCATATTTTCAATTTTACCATTATCCCGTCATTTTTTTTTGCATGCCCAGGTGTGCAACATGTATTGGCCCTGCAGAAGCCAAGAGTGCAGGTTCGCCTTTTTTTCTTTCTTTTTTTTTTTTAAAAATTTTTTTCTAGCAATTTTTGTTTATTTTTTTATTATTGAATTGTGTGAAAAAAATTATAAAAAAACTAATTCTTATTTTTTTCTACATAGGTTGACAATTATAAAATATATACGATGTATTTTCAGATTTTAAAATAAACATAAATATTAGATTATATTAATTTTATTGTTTAAAATTGATCTATTTAATTTACTGTTTTTTTATTTATAGAAATTCTCATCAAATTAATTTTTTAATATAATTGTATTTATTAACAAATATGATTTATTTTCTCTATGCATGTATTTTCAAATAATTTTTTTTAAAATAAATAATTAAAAATAGAATTCACATATTTTATTTTTTATATAATCAAATTTTATCAAAATCAATTTTGTATTTTTTTTTTATTGAACTCTATTAACTTCAACCTATTCTTTACAACTTAAATTTTTTAAAATATTTTTCCTATTTATGCTACACACTCTAACTCATTGAATATAGTCATAATATATAATATATAAATTAGGATAATTGATTTTATTGGAAATTAACTATGTATCTAAATACATAATACCAACTATTTGCTTTTATTTTTTTTAATATTCTAAAATTATTTTTTTCAAATAAAATAATTGAAATAATATTTAGAAGAACCATCTAATAATTAAAATATAGTTTTTTAGACGAATATTATTCCTTATTTTATAAATAAATATATATAATCAAATATACATATTTTTCAAAAAGTTAATCTCTCATTAGCATTGCAGAAAAATAAAAAAGATTCATTTCTTAATTTTTATACAAGTTTTTATGTTAATTATTGCTTTATTTATTCGATGCAATCTTATAAAAAAAATATTAAGATGTTTTTTTTTAATTTTAAATTTAGATTATTACATTTTTTATTTAAAAATAAATACATAAGAAAGATCAAATTTTGTTTTTTTTTAAATATAAAATTGATGAAAAACATAAAAAAGAATAAATTAAATACAAATTTTTTATTAAAAATTATGAAATTAAATGAAATTTGATATTTTATCTTTAATTCAATAAATTTATGTGGCATGATACATCTTTTTTTTTCCCTTGGGAAAAAAAAAAAAGGTATTTCATTTTTTCTCCTCCCTCTCCCTCTATCTCTCTCCTCTATTAAAAATGCATATTTTCAACACCAAAAACCAAAATATTAATGAAAATCTGTCAAGTTTTAATGACAGCTTTAAAATAAAGATTTTAATTAATAACATAAAGACAACATTATTTGATTGGGGATAACATAAGGGGTAAATTATTGGTTTAGCCTAGACTTTGGCTATAAACATGTCTTATTCCCATGATTTTCATGGAAGATTTAGTGTTCAAAGAAAACTAAATGTCCTTTAAAAAAAGCAAAAGACTATTCATTCACTCAAGGTGGTCATGCGCGACCGGAACATTGTAGCATCTTTGCCATGTCAGGAATCCGTAGACCCCTTTTCTTCACCCCGTAAAAAGTAAAAAGCGAGAAGTTGAATAAAAAACAAATAAGGACTATATTAAAAAAATCAGTAGAGTAAAGGGATCTTTGACGCGATTAACCCTGCTAAAAAACAAAATATTGGAAACCATAGAAAAAGAAGTCTCTTTCTTATAGAGTAGAAACAGCCTAACCAAGGTGGGAAAAACAGTAGTATTAATGTTTAAGATCTCAAAACTAACGATTGTCTCACAAAGTTCTTGCAGATGAAACCCAATCTTCTAACCGCTGATTCCTTTCTTATTTTCAATTCCTTAACTCCACTAACAAGGAATTCAATTCCATTTCCCAGAAATTCAATTCTACTCCCCAAACATTTTCTGTCCATAAAATCCCCATACCCCAACTCCTCTAGTCCTTCTCGTTTAATTCCAATTTGCTCTTCTTCAAATCCTACTAGAAAGCTATCCAATTCCACTAATGAAGAAGTGTCATTGAATTCAAATGTTGAAGTTCTTGGTGCAGGTGAATTGGAGAGGAATTTGAATGTCCAAGTCGGGAATCCTATTGTTCCCTCTTATATTCAGTCATGGACTAAGCTTAGTTTGAGTGATCAAGCTTTCTTTCTCTTATCTTTTATTGCTTGCACGGTACTCTCTCTCTCTCCTTTTGAGTTTTATTAGCTTAATTTGGTATTGTTTGTTGGCCCATTTTTTTCTGAAAAATTAACTTAGTTTTAGTGTTTAGGATGTTTAATTGCTTATTGGGTATTAAATTGTTTGTCTGCTAAGTATGTTTTTTTGGCGTTTTGTTGGGATTGGAAGCTTGATGGCTATGAATTCCTTGATGGTTTTTTTTTTTTTTTTTATAATTATTATTATTATTATTATTTTGTGGTTTGTGTTAGAAAGTTTGCTGCTTTTTAGGTGTGCTAATTTGGGTCTTGAGTATATTACAGGCTTATGAAGGTGTTGTTAGATTGTTTAGAATTGGGAATTCTATACTGTTTTTACTCCTCTATTGGTATTTCATTTATAACGTGGTATGGTTTTATGTGTCTTCATTGTGAACTGAGAAACCTTGAAGCTGTGAATTGCTCGCATAGGATTACTTGTTTATATGATCTTGGTGACAATCAATCTGCTTGTTAGGTGTGTAGATTGTTTTTTTTTTTTTTTTTTTCCAACTTTCATATTGTGAATTCAGTTGAATCCTCCAACCAAAATATTTACATATGTGATGAGTGTGTTGGTAAATATTTCAGCTGGACTGTGTTGTGAAAATGTTCATGACTTTGTATTTACCCTTTGGAGGTAATGCATTTATTGCCAATGAGTGAAATCAATTTTTTGATTACTGATAAATGTCACTTACTTTGATTGCTTGCAGACTTCTATAGCATTTACAAGCCTTGTTGTTGCTGCTGTTCCAACACTCTATGTAAGCTATCTAACTTATACATCTGAGTGCAGTTTTTCATTTCATAACTTCAAGTTTAAGATTGTTTGCTAGCTTTGGTTCCAGCATGGTGTTTTTAATAGCTGTTTCTTTTATTAAATGAGATGTCATTCTTAATACCTACTATGACAAGATTAAAAACTATGAAATGTGAATGTTCTTGCATTATTATAGATTTCGGGGACCCATTCATGACTTGAACTTTCAAGAGTTACTGCCAATTTAAGCGTCTTTGATGCTTGTTTTCTAGAGGATGTGAACTAGTTCATCATTTCTTTCTTGAAATAATTCACCTGCTGAAGACATTTTAACTCCTTAAAAAAAAAAAAGATTTATTCAAACTTGAATATATATATATATATATATGTATGTATGTATGTATGTATGTATGTATGTATGTATTAGTAGCCCATCAACTATTTTAACTTTCCCATTTATTTTCTTTTCCTTTCTTTTTGCTTTCTTCTTTCTTCTTTATTTGTCACTCCTCCTTTCTTATTATTATTTTTTTCTCTTTAGCAAATGTGCATGCCTCTACTTTTGCTTTGCCTTCATATTTCTCATGTCCATTTTGCTAATTTAGTATTGTCAGACAGCAATTGGTGTTTCATCACATATATACTTTTTTTTGTTTGTTTGGAAACGTAAGTGATGCATTATGAGACAAAGCTTGACATACTTTGATTTGTTAGTGACAAAGAATAGAAATTGACACCCATTAATTTAACAAGTCTATAATGACCCTGGTTTGGAAGAGATGAGCTAATGTCATTGGAAGCAGGAATTATTGATGAATCTCATATACTTCTGACATCTTAATGTGGCTTTTGCTGACTTCTGATGGTGATATCATATGTCATAAGAAGAAATATCTATTAACTAACTGGTCGTTTGAGTTTCAGGATAAAACATTGACATTTTTTTCCCTTGAGTTAGAATATTATTAAGAGAATTATTAATAAGATAATTCTCACAATAATATTCTAACTCAAGAAAAAAAATTGATATGTTATCTGCTGTTTCTTCTTAGCGTTTGGCTCTGTTTCTGCTCAATGACATTTGACATTTAGGTATCAGCTGCTTGTGTGCAATTTCTGGTCTTGGTGAAATGAGCTTCTGGATGTACTTTGGTGAACTGTGTAGATGAATCTATTTGCTCAGTATGTTAGTAAGAGTAGAATGCTGGTGTAGGTTGTTTGGGTAATTATGAAGCTGATTGCATGCTAAATTAGTTAAATTTTCCCTTAGCTGTTTTATGTTTTAAGAAGGTCATTCTTACAAAGCTTATTGATACAAATAAGTTAACTTTTCCCTTAGCTGTTTGTGTTTTAAGAAGGTTGGTCGCACTATTCTATGATATTTCTTGAGATTTGACATAGGGTAGCAGCAATAATCAATAGTAGTAGCTTTTGCATTGTGATGCATCAGTCAGTTGCTTTAATGGTATATCATTCACTTGATTATCATGCTTGCATCGGGTTGGTGATTCAGATGGCAGTTATTATAATTTGATGTTGACTGGCCAACATCTAATTCAATGTCAACCTTTGTTATTATGAGATTTTAAGAATCTGACTGTCGATTTTTCCATCAGAGAATTGTATTTCCTGATTCTTTCTGTTTGGACTAAACGTCCAATTTCTTGGAGTTGTAAGTCAAAGGGAGGTCATGATAATTATGGAGGAAAAATGGTAGGATATCTAAAAAGGTTATAGTTGAAAATCTTATACTTTTAAACAGTATTCTTACCATTTAAGTCCTGTTACTAGATCCATGTCATGAAAAGAACATAATTACAATTATGTTGGTTATCAAGCACCTGCAAGCCACTTCCAGTGTGCAAGCTTTAGGAAGTCAACATTAGTTAATTTACAAATTATTAATGGTCCACAAAAGGGTTTCAACTTTCAACAGTATATGCTTCTTCTTGCTCATTAATTTCTCTTACCAGTTCCTTTATTTGCAGTGTACATTCTCATTATCATATCCTTAGAATTGTTGTTGCTGTTATATTTGAAGCTCTATTACTCTTGTGATTTGAAACTCCTATTTGTGCAGATTTTAATATTATACAAAGTATCTTATGCAGTTTAATGGTTATAGTGTTCTGATGTCAATATTGGTTCCTTTTCATCTATTTTTTTCCTCCCTGGTTGGCAGGCAATGGGGAGAGCAGCAATATCCCTTTCAAAGCTAGCAGATACAGCTCGCGAGGAACTGCCCAGTACAATGGCTGCAATTAGGCTTTCAGGCATGGAAATAAGTGATCTTACTTTGGAATTAAGTGATTTGAGGTGACAATCAAATCTCATTACAACTCTTGGTTATCATTAGTTCTTTTCATTTTTTATTTCCCCTTTTCCATTGGTCCAAATGCTAGTTTAGAATATTTTGTGTTGCTCATATCTGATTCCTTTGTCTTGTCTTATAAACAAAACATGTATTTCCTTAACCTAGTAAAAGGATGCTCTTTGCAACGGGACAGTGGCATATTAATGCAGGGGGAAGTATAAAAATTCCATGAGGATATATTGGTGCTTTAGTTGTGTCTATTTATGTATTTCATAGGAGCTTATAGATTTCTAACGTCCACCTCAGTTATCACACTGAAAACATTAAGATGTTTAGCTTGTTGCGGTGAGAGCCTTCCTGATGATATCATTATGGTCAGTACTCCTAATTTCTAGAGAAATACCACAACCTTGATAGGATAAGCTATAAAGTCTAGTGGCATTTAAGGATCCAATTTCATTTTCTCGGACACTGTTCAAGTACAATAATATGGTTTTATCTCAACTGACATACAGCCAAGAGGTAACTGATGGGGTCAATAAATCAGCTCAAGCAGTTCAAGCAGCAGAAGCTGGAATTCGACAGATCGGTTCACTTGCTCACCAACACACTATGTGTAAGTTCTTGCGACCTTCTGCTATCATTCCCACTGCAAGTCAAATTATTTCTTTTTTGATCTTTACAGAACTGATGTTTTTGTGTCTATTATTTGATATCTAGCTATGATTCAAGAGAGGGCTAGCTTGCCAATCATCTCCCTGCAGCCAGTTGTCGCCGGTGCTGCAAAGAAAACTTCCCGTGCTGTTGGTCAAGCCACCAAGACCATCATGAACATTATATCACGAGGAGAATTCAATTCAGAGAATGAAGATGGAAGTGGCATTGATAGGGTGGAAATATAAGAGTGACTTCTTGTGGTTTGGACAAACACGTGTGTACATATGATAGATAACCAAGTTGTCTGCTTATAATCTGGTTAAACTATAAAAGATTTCTCTGAACTCGAGGTAAAAAAAAAAAAAAAAAACAAAAAACAAAAAACAAACCTGAACAGATACCTGATTTTACCTCTTAAATACTATGATTTTTTGAATCTCTAATTTGCTAGGGCTTCATTGAGAAATAAATAGAAAAACTTATAAAAAAAATGCCAATTCCTATCTTTTTGTCTACTAATTTAGAAAAATATGTTTACTAATAGAGAAAAAAGAAGAATATTTAATCAATTTTTCTTAATGAAATCCTAATAGAAAAGACAAATTCAAAAAATCATGTTGTTTAAAGGACAAAATTAGAATTTTTTTTCTAGTTCAGAGGTATTTTCTTTTGTTTGTTTTTTTTTTCTCGTTCTTATTTTACAATTTAGCCTAAAAATCTATAAAAATAAAATTGTTGTCTTCCTAAATAGTTCGCTGTACGTGATGCGGTACAAGCCCCATATCATTTTTGGTGTAATAACTCAAAATTTTTTTATTTTTTTATTTTTTATTTTTATTTATTTATTTATTTTTATTTTATTTTATTTTTGTTTTTGTTTTTAATTTGAAGTTTGTTAAGGAAAAGGAAAAAAAAGGAGAAAGAAAATGATGAAAAAAGAAAAAGAAAAAATGAAAAAAAATTCATTTAAGGGTGCAATTGAAGTAATTAGAGGTATAATCGAGTCAATTGAAAAGTTTAGGCCTTAAATTGCACCTCCGGGCACCTAATTGTTGAGATTACACTGAAATTATTTCGTAGAGGGGCGTAATTGCTGAAATTGAAACTCGAGGACCAAACTGGAAGTTTGAAGCGAACGACAGGACCGAAATGGAGCAAACGACTCGTCGTTCGCTCCAAGGCGATTCTCTCCGAAAATCTTTGGGAGAATCCGTCCAAATCCTCCATGAATTTCGTGTTTTTGATTGGGTATTAATCATGGATTTTGTTGCCGAAACCAACACCGACAGGAATCAATGAGAATTTCCTGTTTTGATTTCACAATTAATCATGAATTAAAGAGGAAAATTTTTGGCGAGAAAATTCGGGGATTTCGTTTCAATTTTAGGAAATTTGTTGGCTATAAAACGTTCGATTTTCACGAAAGAAGGAGGAGGATTTTTTTGGGCGAATAATTCAGGTAGAGAGAGTTCAAAAAATTAAAAGCAAAAGATTTAATTTGGATTTTTGGCGACTTGAATTTTTTTTTCGGGTTTCTAGGTTTAGTGTTCTTCATGTTCTTGGTATTCTTGAGGGCTGGGTTTTAGTTCATAATCTATCGGTCTCTTTTGGTGTTTGATTTTGAGTTTCTAGGGGCTAAATATCCATCCTCACTTCTTCCTTCACTCATTTTTTTGAATTTCGAGGTTCGATTCGTCGCACTTTCGACTCTTCACGTTTCTAGGTAGCATTGCGGACGTTCTTATTTTCTCGGGTTTGTTCTTCATCTGTTGGGTTTCGATTCATCATTCCCTTGGTCGTTTGAAGGGTGTTTGAATCTGGGTTGGGTAAAATATCATATGCTTGGGTTTAGTGAACGAGAAATCAACGTAAAACGTTCAAAATTGTGAGAAATCAGCAACTTTGGATTCTCGCATTTTTTGAATTTTTCCGGGTTGGTCTTCAACGATTCCGGGTTAGCTTAGGCTCTAATTCCGCTTGCTTTGATTTTATTCGTTCGTTTTTATTTGCATACTTGTTTTCTTTTCTTGTTCATGTTGATGTGCCTAATTGATTTAATTAGTCGAAGGTAATTCATTGGCAAAATTAAGGTATTAGGCGAGAGAAAATTAAAGACTAAGAATAGGAGAGAGGGAGAACCGTTTCAGTGTGTTTGATCCGTTTTTGTTGAAGTTGTTTACGCGGGCTCGTTTCTAGGCTTAAGCCCGGCGAAGAAAAGGGCAAAGGAAAACGTGTTGGGCTGGACCGATCGGTCCAACCCGACCCGATGCCCAAAATAAAAAAAGGGGGGTCGGGCTGATTTTGGCCCAACCTCGCACCCTTTCTCCCAAAAAAATAAAAAAAAATAATAAAAAAACAAAAAATAAAATAAAACAAAAAATAGAATTAGGGAATTAAAAAAAAATAGGTGAAAAGAAAAATAAGGAAAAAAGGGGATGGGTAAAAAAAAAAAAGAGTAAAAGTGGTAGGTTAATATTTTAGGTATAGAATTTTTTTTATTTACTTTTATCATTGGTTATTTTTTACCTCGCTTACATAGGATGATTTTTTTTTTCATTTTGTATTTTATTTTATTTTTAGTCTATCTATTTTACTTCTTGTAGTTTTCTTTTCTAATATGTATTGCTAGAAAATTATATATATATAAAATTTTGACGAAGTCTCCTATTTGATAGGGACCGACGTCGTAAAAAAAAATAAAATAAAAAATTGGCGAAATCTCCTATTTGATAGGGATCGACGCCATACAAAAAAATCACCTTTTAATCAAGACGTCCTCCGACACGCCGGTTATGTCAAGGCTTTTTTAGTGGATCCGATGTTTGAATCGACGTGTCACCCAACGAAGGGGACCGACGATCGTTTCAATATGATGCCACGTCCAAAACTAAAAAAAATTATTTAGGCTAAAAGATAGGAGATTAAATTTTAGAAAATAGTTTGACATGGATTTTAGGAAATAATTCAGAACTAAACCATACATGGTACTTTTTTTTTTTAAAATGACGCTTTTAGGTGATTTAATATCTTTCTAAACGCGTAACCAACTCCTTACCTTAGGAATCTCTCGAACTAGTGCTACTTTTAGGTTCCTAGTACCGTAAATACTAGGTGACGACTCCAAAACTCTGTAAATAATTTTGTAATTAATTAATGCCCGAACACTTAATAATTTTTTTTCTTTTGGGGGGTCTCGTCCGACGTCGCGTAGCGACGGAATGACGACTCCATCGGGGACTAGAGTTAGGCCATAGGTTTATTTTTAATTTATCTCCTATGTTTATTTTTTGTCATTTTATTTTCTAAATTTTATTTATTTATTTATTTATGTATATATTTAAATTTTTGTCATTTATTTCTTTTTCTCTTTTCTTGCACGTTTATTTTGAATTGGGTTAAATGCTTTTTCTTTTAATTGTTGCACACACCACGAAGGAAACTCCTAAAAGCTCGGACCCGAGCTGAACCCTAATAGGAATTAGATAGAGGGATTTAGAGGCGAATATGACGAAAGTCTACCGATGCTCTTCCAAACTCTCGTTTAGATCGAAACTCACCCTATACATTGGAAATGGTAGAATAATCTTCCCTATCTCCTAACGTATAAGGCTAGAGGCTGGATTACCCCATCGATAATTTAGGCGGTCTAGAGACTTGAAAAATCATTAGGGCTAGTCAAACTTAGCCCAACCATAGAAAAGCTAGATCCTATCCGTTAAGGTTGACCTAATTAAGACATGAATTATTATCAAGTAAATGATGATACTAACCCTTGATTTTACAGAGTTATCCTTCATATTAAATCATGACGAAGAAATCGAAATGAGGTCGAGGATTTTAGGGTCGGATCCGAGTGGGCCCAAAACGAGAAAGGAGATTGTTTGCCTTCGAATTTCGTGTCGAAACTACCGGAAAGGGTTAAGTTGGCCGACGGGATGGCCAACACCAGTCCGCTTCTCGGTTGTTGGGAGATGCTCACTTTCAAGGACCAACTTGATTTTCGGAAAACATATGGGGACATAACTTATCTGCTCAAGATCAAGGCCCGGATCGCATGCTTTCAAGCCATGATAGGTCATTGGGATCCAGATTATCGTTGCTTCACCTTTGGGAGTGTAGACTCGTCACCTACACTTGAGAAATATGAGGCTCGCTAGCATTTCCCAAGATAGACGCCGTCTACTTCTACGATCCGCCAAAACATGCTCCATCAAATTTTGCATGGTTGATTGGGACTAACACCACTTTAGCCAAGAAGCAACTAACCCAAAGGGGTAAATCTCAAGGTTGGTTTTGGAACGTCCTTCAAGCGGAATTCATGAAGCATTTATAAGATGATGATAATCAAGTCGGACTTCGAATCTTGGCACTAGCAATATATGAACTAGTGTTGTTACCATCGCTCGAGAGCATGATCGACGTTGAGGCGATCAACGTATTTAAAAATGTAGTATCTCTAAATGTTAATCCCACTCGCAACAATCCTAGTAGAAACTCTCTCCTCATTAAATTTCGTCGAAGAAAAAGAGATGGGCATCCGAGGTGTTGTGTGCGGCTATTGTTTGTATGGACCGTGAGCCATGTGGTGACCGGGGAAGCCTCGAGTATTTTTCGCACCCCATGGCATTTGCATTCTAAGCCTGGAGAGTTTTGCTTGTCATGCCCTCAACGAGTTAGGCAAGACAATGTGGGTCAAATTATTCTTCGGCTTAGAGAAGTCGAATTTCATTGGAGAGCACGATATGCCTTCTTTTGGAGTTACACGGCCTTTTGTGGTAAATTTCCTTGGGTGCCACTAATTGGAGCTCGTTGTTGCATCGGTTATTGTCCAAACATGTTTTTGAGGCAATTGGGGTTCGAGCAATTCATCCCAAGGACGACCGGTTTAAACGAATATTATGAGGATCCGAGGGTCTCTAAAAAGTTCTTAGAGGAGGCTAGGATTGCTTGGAGAAATAGAGGGATTGTCACTCCCGAAAGAAGAGTGGATGGAAGAACCTTACCCGGATATCCGAAATGGCAAAGCACTAGAGGAAAGGGATACCGTGTGCCATCATTCAAGGGCCCATCTCGATTGATGAATGAGACAATGGAGGATGTTCGCCGAAGTGAATGCCCAACATGAGATACTCAATGAAGACCTAAATGCTCGAGTGGTTGGACTAGCTCAAAAGAAGAGGAAGTTAGAAGAGATTCTGGATACTAAAGATCATGTGATGAAGGCTTTAGAGGAAGAAAACAAGAA